CAGAACACGGAAACCCATTCAAGTGGTAATAAAACCATTTAACTGGCATTTGCAAACCCAGGTGTTGGAGAAGAAACAAGTGACCCAGGAGGGATGGGGTAAACGGAACCGCTTTATTGCCCACGCACGTTTACCTCAGATATTCAACACAATGTCCAAGTGGCAACAACCTGGCACCAATGACACCCTTTTATCTATTTTAGTATGTTAATTCACACGTCTATCACTACTCTTCCTAAAACCTTATTTAGTAATGTTAATTACCTAAAATGAATATTAATAAGGAAGTGATGACTATTATTACACCTGCCCCTAATTACTATTTACAGAATTTCTAATTAAATCAACACTTTCCTATGCTACAAACTTTCTAAATCAGCAGGTTACAGAGATTACAAGGAAAGTAACCCTGAAATATTTATACAGCGCCAGTGAGGGTAGGCAAAAGACACAATGTTGAAGAGCAGCTGCACACTTATCTATTTTTCTAGGCTGCAAAAACGAAGGGAAAGATCATGTTCAAGGATAAAAATGTGTGAGGTGGCTGAACTCCTTTCCGCTATCCCAGACCCCTATTCCAACATGTCCCAGCATCAGGTCTAGACTGTCAGTTTCTGAATTTACTGTGTTGGTCGACAGGACGTAAGTGTAAAATTTGTTTTAAAATATTTCATTAATGTGTTGCTAAAGATTATAAAATCACATCTTTAAACCCCTCCCCCCAGCTGCTGTAGGGCACGGGGCATCAGTTTAATAGTGCCAAACACATAAGACTCCCTTAATCTTAAGAAGACCTAACTCTTCAATCTAGCAAAGAAAAAAAAAGATCTTCAGTAACCTGAAGCTGCAGCTAGACAAATTCAGCCTAAAAAGGAACAACATTTTAAGAGGAGGGATAATTAACCACTGAAACAATTTTACTTGAAATCTTTAAATTCAGGTCGCACATCTTTCTACAAGATATGTTCTAGCTCATACAGAAGTTAGGGGCTTGCCACAGGAATTACTGGTGAAGTTCTGTGGCCTATAAAGCACGCCGGACTTGATGACCCCAACGGCCCCACTGAGCCTTAAAATCAATGATCTATGAAAAAGCCAAGTGAATATTGTGCATCAGGAAATGTATTAACATTTCCAGGTTTATATCCAATACCTGCTGCTTTCTACCTCAGAAGGTTTGGTTGTTACAGTCTGTAAGTTGATGCAAAAAGGGAAGAGCATTTTTGAGTCACAGGGATGTGGCCGTTCCCGGGCTCTCTGTGCTGCAGTCAATTTCTGTTGCACAGATTTCCAGTGGCTCCCCTTTCACTTCAGGACCCAGTCAAAAATCACATGATTTTAAAAGCCTTCCTGGACTTTCACGCTGTTCCTCACTCCCACACACCTTCGGGTACCAGGTCTTACACGTGCTTCAGTAGCAAGGGGAATGTTGACGTCTCACATTTCTTCCTTGCTCGTTCCTTGTTCCACTGAAAAGTACCTGGGCTCTGCATATGGCTGAAATATTTCTCTGTGGAATCCCCATAGGGCCTCTCACCTTCTACTTGCCAAATCCTTGGGGGCTGCCAGCTTCTTGTATTACAGATAGTCTCCCTAGTAACATATTCTAGTTAGCCTTGCAGAGAGATGTGCTTATTGTCAGTTGAGGCCCAGTTCTCTCAGGAAGCTTGGCATATTGCTACTCGAGCCCACTTACTTGCTTACTTTCTCTCTCTCTGGCCATGTCTATGCTATGTGGGAAGGTAGACACTAGCACAGTCGATCTTCCAGGTTTGATTTAACAGGTCTAGTGAAGACCTGCTAAATCGAACTCAGAGGGCACTCCCAGTGTTCCTGCTCCTCATCTGGAGTAAGGGAAGCCGATGGGAGTGTTTGCGCCAATCAACTTCTCCCTGTTTGGACAGCGGGAAACATGGCTTACGATAGGTCAACTCCACCTATGTAAATAACTGGAGTAGCTGGAGTTGTGTTTCTTAAATTGATCTCCTGCTGTAGTGTAGACCAGACCTCTTTGAGTAAGATCCATTCTTAAAAGGTAGGTAGAGCCTCCAGGTTAAAGCCACTCGGGTAAGCAAAACGTGAGAGCGTCTATTACTGAATTTTATCCTCCCGACAGCTTTATGTGTTAGAAAAGCATTATGGATGGTATTTGACAGAGAGAGGACATGAGCCAAGTATACACAGGAAATCTGTGGTAGTGCGGGTAGCAGAACTCAGTTCTCCTGTATTTTTGACCAGTGTCTTAACTATAAAGCCAGCCTTGCTTGCTTTTCTTTACTTCCCATGCTTCTGTCAGTGCTGGAAGTACCTTGTTGTCTGCAGCTTCTGCTATCGTGAAGAGCTGAGCCATTTCAGCCCTCCTTGACGATGCCAGGAACTTGAGGGTGTCTTGACCACCATACCTTGCAGAATCAGGCCCTTTCTGTTTTCTTGCAGCTTATATCCTCTCCTTGCCTGTTATTTTATCTCTCCCCTTCTGCTGTTTAATATTTACTGTACCTCACTATAATTGTTCTTAGTAAATCATTTTTGCATGCCATTGGTAAGAACTAGGCTAATTAAATTGTGTTTCTTTGGATTATTAATGATCTGCCCAATAAAAGGAATCCAAAATTTCTCTAATGGAAACCTATTATACTGGTCTGTTTCCCATGCTGTGCCTTGACATCTGCTGATGGCAGTATTTTTTCCCTCTCTGCACTATATTTATGAAAAATTGCTTTGCGTATCCGAGCTACTCAGCTTCAGACCCCCACCGGAGTTTTCATTAATATACAAGTAGAAAACATTGCAGTAGGGGGACCATATGAGAAGAAATTATATTTAATGACACCACTGCTCTCCCATCTGTCAGGACAAAATGTGAATACTGCTACCTAGAGATTACCCATTTTATGATGGTGCAGGCTGTTGGGATTCCACAGAGTGAGATTTCTGTGAATATCCTTTTATTAGTACACAGAAAGATGAAAAATGGCCCCATAATGTTCCCATCAAACTCGTTATTTGTCATTTACAGGTGAGGCTACCTGTGCTCTATTTTTAAAAAGCCCAACTGTTGCATTAGTCCTCCCATAGTGTTACTCCAGCAATTGCCCACAGAACCAAATTTTCATAATGAAGTAGAGAAGAACATTTGTTTTCAATTACCAAAGATAAATTTGGAGCATAATGCACTCTCTGTTGTGTTAATGGAGTCCCATGGTGAGAGACGCCGTGTACTGGGATCGTATGTGCATGCTGAGAGGACATAAAAATCCGTTTAATAATGCAGTCGTACATTCCATGCAAGGAGCTCGCAGTGCTTCATGCGGCTCCGAAAGTTGGGATGAATTAACCTTCGCGTTGATGCGGATGTGCATGCCAGTCAGGTGCATGTGCAGGACTCATTCTCAACGAGGCCCACTGGGCCCTGCACCTCCTCACGGGCCCCCTTCTGAGGCTGTGTAGTTGTCCCCGGTATTGTCCCCTGTATTCCCCACTCGGACAGCTTCGGAACTCTCCGTGTAGTTCCCCTCACGTTTTTTTTAAACGTATTTCGCTCTTGGCTTCGTTAATGCCATAAATAGCACTTCATCCACCCTTTGGTTAAGTTTCCTTTATGGTTATTTTTTCTTTTATTCCTGATTGGCTTGTGACTTGTGGTGCTGAACTGCCAAAGTCACGAAGCACTCCTGGGCTTCAAGCACTGTCCTTCCTGTGGGCCGTGAGTTTCTAATAGTGATGCCGCACAGGTTGCTGGCTGGGGCTCAGTGAAAGACACCTCAGGGAGAGGCAGTAGAATCTGCCACTCCTTTAGGAAAGGCTTTCAAATGTCCAGGGTTCAGCACCTCCTGGAACAGGCCACAAGGCCTACCTCTGTGCAGCACTGGAGCCAGATCGCTCTGGCCGCATGCAGTCAACTGCTACTTGGCAGCAGGGGCGGCCTGTGACTATAGGCCGACTCGGCCATCACTAGGGTGCCGCCTTCAACTGGGTGCCCGAGGCGCCCGATGATGATATCACTCCATTGATGGCCGTGCAGGCGGGGGCTCCGATCGTGCATTCCGCCTGGGGCACCAGCTGCCACAGCCCATCTCAGGCCGCTCCTGCTTGGCAGAGTCTTAAGGCAGGCCCTTGGACTTGGACTCCTATCCAAGAAGAAGGGACGTCAATCTACCATTCCTGGAGTACTTTATGAAAAGACGCACAAGACTGTTAGGAGCCATTTGAACTCTAAGAGAAGACCACAATGGAGAGAAAACGGGGAGGGGAACTCAAAATTTATAATAGAAAAAGGGGGGGGAAGTACCTGTCAATTGTAAAGCCAGTGCTTATGAGGCTAATTAAGTGGGCTGGAAGTGTCTCATATTTAGCTTTTGATATCAATGGGGTGTTGAATGTAAGGAAAGCTGGTTTTATAATGGCCCATCCAATTCAGGTCTTTGTTCAAGCCACAAGCTATGTTTTGCGAAGCTGGATGGCATACCTTAATCCAACATGCCTGGTCTAGTGTAGACCAGGCCTGAGTGTAATTCATAGGCAGCAGGTTTGAAACAGACAAAAGTACTTCTCTACACAACACACGCTTGTGGACCTCATTGTCAGGGGATGACGTGAAGGCCAAAAGTATAACTGGGATCAAAACAAGAATGCGATGCATTCATGGAGGATCAGTCCATTAATTTCTATTAGTCAAGATAGTAAGGGAAGCAAACTTGTGCACTTCATGCCCCTACACTGCTGACTGTCCACAGTTAGGACTGGTCATTGGTATGGTTCACTCAATAATTTATTTCCTCAGAAACCTCTGGCACTGGCCGCTGTCAAAACCTGGACTAGATCAAGTATTGATCTGACTCAGCATGGCCATTTTGTTGTTTTTATGACCCAAATGCCTACTAAAAATAGCTCTACAAGCTTTAAGCAAAAGCAGTCAATGCCTATCGAATCTGCTTTTGCATAAATGATGGAAATGATATAGCCTAGATTTATTTGTCTTTTCTTTTTGCTATGACCAGGACAAATGATACTGGCCTTCTCTCCTTCAAAGACCATTTGCCTGTAACTCAACTTGTGATCACGGACACAAACAGATCAAACTCGGAGGCTGCATGGCGAATCGGGCCCTTGCGTTGCCATGGAGACAGTGAGTACCAGCTGTTTGCAATCTCCAGATGTACAGAATGTCCCATCCCAGTTGTTGTGGGGCTCCTTTTTTAAAACATATTTAAGAAAAGGCATCTTTACATGCCTGGCTTTTGCACTTGATCAGTTAATTATAGAGAAGGGCTTTGTCTTTTGCAGGACAGTTCTGGAATGCAGCTTCCTTCAACACAGAGGCCTCCTATCTTCACTTCCCCACCTTCCATGCAGAGTTCAGCGCAGACATTTCCTTTTTCTTCAAAACCACGGCTGTGTCCGGGGCCTTCCTGGAAAACCTGGGGCTTAAGGACTTCATCCGCATCGAAATAAGCTGTAAGCATCACTGCTGAAACTCACTATAGTTGTGCCATACAACCAGTTTAGTGGGAAAGTGAGGAGTAAGCACGGATGTCTTTATAACGTGCAGCTTGCCTACAGATAGGATGAGATGATCTCTGGAGAGTAAGGGTTCCTTTGTTTCTTAGGCAGTGGACTAGACTGGAGGAGATTGGGTTTCACTTCCCTTCACTGACACAGTGACCTTCAGCCAACCTTCTTGAACTCTGTGTCCTCCAGGTAGCCATGTTCAAAATGGAGATTTATAAAAACAAAACAAAACCCTTTTGTCCATTTATCCTGTAAATTCTTTGGAGCATTCTGTTACTACATGAATGTGCAGCACCTAGCATAATGGGTCTCCTCTCTCATTTGAAACCTATTACTGTTTCTAGAATGCTAATCTTAAACAGTTAGGGTACATCAATTGTGCATCTTATTTTGGCTTTTGGTGCTGTCTACATAGCAGGAAGTCAGAGGCACAGCACGTTTCCTCTGACTTCCCTTACTCCTCGTAAAATGAGGGGTTACAGGAGATGGAGTAAGAAGTCCTCCAGCTCGACATTGCTTCGATGACATGTCGAAATAATTGCTTTCTGTGTAGATGCAGACTACGTTATTTTAGATGAACGCTGCTGTGTAGACACAGCCTTACAATAATTCCTATTATTATTCGTGTTACATTTCAAATGAGGGGATGCCATTTCACTGTTCCTGCTTAAATCCATGCCAGTAACACAACTAATCCTCGAGTGCCATGTTTATCATTTTAACCCCTTCATGGATGGGGACCAATGTGATGACTTGACATTTTTGCACCTCCCAAGAAATTGATAGTATGAAATGAGTTGCCTAATCCTTCTCCGCTCTAGCATAAAACACTCTTGGACAATGACAATTAGTGAGAAAGCAGTGATGGCTAATGAGGTGAGCGCTCACAACAAGTATGGTGAGGGGTCTAACATATGCTGAGAGCCATTAATGGTCTTGTTAGACACCACAAAGCCCACTCAGTGGTTGAATTGTAATTACAGCTCAGTTTATAAATGGGGAAAAATAGCAATAACTAATTGGTAGGTTTAACCTCTCCCTTATTCCGCTGATTTGCAATGTTAATAGGGGGAAAGTGTTGTGGCTTTGAAGTGAAATAAGACTCCTCTGTTCCCAAATCTGTCAGGACGAGGAAATGCGGTATTGAGTGCCATCCATTTTATAAAATGGTTATAATAACCTCAGCATAAAATTTAATAAAATAAGGCCCCAAGGCCCTTCGATTCATTAAACCAGTGGTAAATGTCATGGTGCATTATCACAAGGTAATGAGGTATGATTTAGTGTTAATTGCACATCAAAGTCCAATTTGGATGTACTTCAGTGTACTGTATATCATTCTCAGGGACGTGAAAAAAAAAGACAGTTTGACATTAACTGTGACAAAATACTGCAAACCACTTAGATGCTTATTTAGCAAATTGTTTCATTGGCGAGTGCCAAACCGTACCCTCGCAAAGTAACTAGTTATTGAAAAGTTGGGAAACTTGGAGTCAGTCTCTCCTTTTTCACCTCAACTCCTCATTAGCAGCATCTTGTACATCGTGCAGCCAGATGGAATTCGTAGCCTGGAGGGCTTATGTGGAGAAAGCTCCAAAGACCAGCTGCTTGGAAAGGAATTGGCCTTTTAGCAGAGGCAGAAGCTGAGAATAGATCTTCACCTATCCCCACGGAACGTTTTCACACTCAAGTACCTGAGCAACAACTTCCAAAACCGGCTCTATCCAATTTGTTTGACTTGAAACAACAGGGTTCTGTGACTTGTCAATCCGCTGTCTTTCTGTTTGGCATGCAGTTCGCAAAGCCAGCTTTTGTTTCCCTAGTCACTGGTGTATGCAGGAATTTAAGGAGAGGGATATATTCAGGAACAATAATATCAAAGACTTCTGGTCCAAGTCTGCGCTTTTTAAAACCATTGGAATTTTCGTTGACTTCCATCAGGACAAATTGAACCACTTTATGTCACTGCCTTCCTGATTATGCTTCTGTCTCTCAGGGCATGTCTACACCACTGAAAACAAAACAAAAACCCTAAAAAAAATCCTCCATGGCAGTAAGTCTCAGAGCTCAGGTAAACTGATTCCAACTTGAGGGATTTTCACCGCAGGGCTAGCCATAGCAGTTTAGATGTTTCTGCTTAAGCAGACACCTGGGCTGCGTTTAGACTGGCATGATTTTGTGGAAATACTTTTAATGGAAAAGATTTTTGTTAAAAGTATTTCCGCAAAAGCACATCTAGATTGGCACGGATGCTTTTGCACAAAAAGTGCTTTTGCGCAAAAGCATCCATGGCCAGTCTAGACGCGATTTTGCACCAGAAAGCCCCGATCGCCATTTTAGCCATCGGGGCTTTTTTACGCAAAACAGTTCTTCCCTGTCTACACTGGCCCTCTTGTGCAAGTATTCTTGCACAAGAGGGCTTTTTCCCAAGCAGGAGCGTGAAAGTATTTGTGCAAGAAGCATTGATTTTGTACATTACAAAGTCAGTGCTCTTGTGCAAATTCAAGCGGCCAGTGTAGACAGCTGGCAAGTTTTTGTGCAAAAGAAGCCGCTTTTGTGCAAAATCTTGCCAGTCTAGACACACCCCTCAACAGGTTTCAGAGCTCTGTTCCAGCTCAAAGAGGAATGTTTATACTGCTGTTTTCATTCTCTTAGTGTGAGTCCAGTGATTCCAAATCAGTTGACCTGGGCTTTAAGACTCACTGTTTCTTGAGGTTTTTTTGGGGGGAAGGCAGGGGACAGTTCGATAATCCTTAGGATCCATTCATATCTCAGCATATGCAGCCTATGCCCCTCTGCTCTGGGAGAGTCACTTAACTCCTGTGTCTTATTATATTTACCCCGCTAGCAGGGTCACATCGACGCCTGTGATCGAATACTTTGAGCAGACACAGCACACCATACCCTTAAAGCCCCATTTCTTGCTGTGGTCTTTCATTAAGTGTGCCTTTTCCAGCTGGTGGCATCACCCATGCAGGGTGGAAACTGTAACCGCCAATGGCATACATTTGTGGAATGACTGGCGTCTAAGTGGTTAACTTTCCAAAGGGGGATAGACTAGCTTTCCTGGGGCACCACCATTGGCATAGCAATAAAACCGGGCATAGTCACTGAATCCTCAGCCATGTGTGTTCCCAACAGAGACCAGGCAGCGAGCTATGGGATTTATGTCTAGGCTGCCATGTTATTTGCTAGCTTGATCGTGAATGGAGCGTCCATTTATAGAATATACTTTCATGTCAAAACCAGATCTTTAATTCCACCTTTCAGCTCTTCCTCACCCTTGTCTATTCCAGCCCCTAAGGAGATCACCTTCTCCATAGATGTTGGGAACGGACCTATGGATGCTACAGTGCAGTCTCCCACGCCTCTGAATGACAACCAGTGGCACTACGTCCGAGCCGAGAGGAACCTCAAGCAGACCTCTCTTCAAGTGGATAACCTGCCGAAGAAGATTCTGGAGGCACCTGCCGAGGGGCGTTTCCGTTTGCAGCTTAACAGCCCATTCTTTGTAGGTAGGGTCCATTTAACCCGTATCGTTGATATTTGCAACGGTTGTCTGTCGTAAACCAATTACACAACTTCTCTAGCCACTGAGATTGGGCATTTTGGCAGGAGTGCGCACTTGTCCCAATCAGGCTTATCAGTTGACAAGAGCAAACGAGACAAATGCCGAATTTTGTAGAAATATAAGTGGTGTGTGGAGGAACGTGATGGGGGGAGAGGCAATGCCAGCCACGTGGGGGGGTGCCACGGTGAGCGCAGGAGGCTGCAGGTCTCCAGTGAGCTTTGGGTGGAGGAAGAAGGGGTGGCAGTGGTCAGGTAAATGGCTTGTGGCATCCCTATTTTCCCTTGAACAAATATGGCCACCCTATGCATGGTCCAAGTCTCAGCCTCCAGAATTAGGCTTAAACTCTGATTTCCTCAAGTATCTCTGTCGGTGGAATTCTCTATTGAGCAATATCTGAATGTTTCTAGTTCTGTAGCTTTTTACTATCCGCTTCCTGTGAGGATCCGCTTCCTGTGAGGATTAGGAACCGAGCCCGGTTCCTTGGACACACAGGTGATGTAGCATGTTTCTATCCCCTAATGAGAGGGGTATAATTTGTGGAGGCAGGTTTCTGGGACACACATACACATAGTTGCCAATAATCTGCAATCGTTCTGTAAAATCTCCTCATTCCGGCAAACGTTCCTGCCAGTAAACTCATTTGTGAGACTATCCCTGTAGAACAAGCCCTAAAGGCCTATGAACACAGGCAAAGCAAATATGTAAAAGGGCCAGCAGCCACATTTTTGTTTGCAGATTATTTTTTACGGTATTTGCCAAGCTCTCATACAACCAAACTCTCACTTCCGGGCTTAGTTGACCCAGCTTCTTTTTGGGAACAAAAAAGGGGTCAACTTTCCCCTTTGCATTCCTTGTGCACCAGCCAGACCCTAGCCATCACAAAACTCCCCTTTGAGATGGGAAGGGGTGGTGGCACACTCCTTACTCAGGGCTGTGTATAAAAGATGTGTTCTGGCCTTTTAATAAACTCTATTTAGCTGAAATGCCTGGATAGTCTAACTTCACCCCTGTATCCAATTTTATGGGGGGAGGGATAGCTCAGTGCTTTGAGCATTGGCCTGCTAAACCCATGGTTATAAGTTCAATTCTTGTGGAGGTCATTTAAGAAGATGGGGCAAAAATTTGTCAGGGATGGTACTTGGTCCTGCTGTAAGGACAGGGGACTGGACTGGACTCAATGACCTTTCAAGGTCCCTTCCAGTTCTAGGAGATAGGCAATCTCCATTATAATAAAAATAAATGAGGATTTTGTCCATGAGAGATTTATAAAAAGAGCATCCAGTGCAACGGAGATTCTTCTGTGTGGGACGACCTTATATTAAAAAACAGATTGACCACTAACCTAGCTATCGTTATTTCTGCATGATTTTGCCATCGTAGGAGCTAAGACATATCAAGATCGAACCCTAATACAGGGATGGGCAATAATTTTTGACAGGGGAACCACTCCAAGGGTTTGGAAAGTGGTTGAAGACCGCACTCTTCCATTATATGAATGGAGGAGATGTGGGGTTTGGGATGGAGGTGGGGTGCAGAAGGGAGCTTGGCGTAAGGGATTGGGGTGCAGGAGGGAGACTGGAGTCTGGGAGGGAGTTGGGATGAAGCAAGCTGTTGTGACCGAGGGCAGTGGACTGGTGTGCAGGGGTTTGGAATGTGACCTAGGATAGGAGGGGATTGTGATCTGGGGCAGGAGATGTGGGTGTAAGAGGGGGACAGAGGGTTTGGTTATATTGAGTGGGTGGTGGGGGGACAGAGAGTTGGGGCAGGAAAGGGCTGGGATGCCAGAAGCAGGCTGTGGCCAGGAGACTTACTTGCCAGCTGCCAAACCAGCCTGCCTGCCTGCAAAGCTTAAAATGTTTCCAGTCAGCCAGCCTGCTTGCCTGGCCGTGTGTGTCATGAATAACTGAGCTGAGGAGAGGGGGCGTGATTCTTCTTGGCTGCCTGTTACTCCAACAAGCAACTCGCATTGGCTGGGGTCTACCAGAAACCAGCCAATGGGAATGTGCTGGGGGTGAGGCAGCTCCTAAAACTTCCCCAATTTTAAAACAGAAACCGAGCCCTGCCGCTGGGCTCCCCGCTGCTTCCGTGGGCCAGATCCTGTGTCTTGGCGGGCTGGATCTGGCCTGCCAGCTGTATTTTGCCCAAGCCTGCCTTAGTAGTTTTCAACAAGAAGGAAATTTACTGAAGATCAGAGGGCCCATGTAAGACTGCCACAATGTAAGACAGCCTTAAAAGGAAGTTGAGCTTAGCTCCCACCTGTGACAGCTCTCCTTGGCTACGGGTAATGGGAGTTAGCAGCCAATGGGAGTGGCAGAGAGCAGAAGACCAGGACAGAATCTCTCACCACTCCCATTGGTTGCAAACAGCGATCTGCAGCCAATGGGGGCAGTGATCATCTGATACTTGCAGAGGCGCAGGGAAACAGAGAGGGGTGTGTGTGGGGGGGGTGAAACTAACCCTGGTGGACCGGATCCAGATCATGGACTGGTATTTGCCCATGCCTGAGTTAAGCCTGAGTTAATGTGCAATTCACAAGACCATGGCCAGGGGTGTGTAGCCTTATAGGCAGTGGAAAGGCACCTCTGGAACCTCACCCTGAAAAGAAGAAAAAAAAAAAGAGTGAAAAGTTGATGCCAAGTGATTTTTGACTGGCTTAGAAACATCCTCTCTACAGGACATTTCATCTCACCTTGTGGACCTAAGCTGTGCAGGTGGGTTGGGGTTTTCTACATAGAAACATAAAATGTGCCAGACTGGATCAGACCTGTCATCCATCCCATCCAATATCCTCCCGCCAGCTCCAAACGCCCTAAGGGAATGTGGAAGAAACCTGAGATAGACGGATGTGAGACTCCCTCCCGGAAGGACTCATGGTAACTCCTGATACAAGACCTGAATCGTGGGGAATGAATTTTCTCCCATCTGAAAAAAAATCCCGAACAAATTAATAAACCACATGAATTGTAAAAGGAATGAAGTAGCTCTTATAAGATATAAGAAATAAAAGTAAGTTTTTCTTCACACAGCGCACAGTCAACCTGTGGAACTCCTTGCCAGAGGATGTTGTGAAGACCAGGACTTTAACAGGGTTCAAAAAAGAGCTAGATAAATTCATGGAGGTTTAAAGAGACTAGTTAGGTGTGGTCATATCTTTTACTGGATACACTTCTGTAGTGAGAGAGAGGTTTTCTCTCTGACCCACAGAAATGGGTTCAATAAAAGATGTGACCACACCCACCATCTATCTAATATCCTGAAAACAACATGGGCAACAACAACAATGCATACAAGTTAAGATTAAAGGGCTTGTTTTTTCTACTTCTGCAGTGCTCTGTTTAGCAGTTAAGATTAAGAGGTTGCCACGATTGGTATGCACTTGCTTAATTAATAATCCCTGTATCTGACATGATTTGCTGTTTAAAAAATTTCAAACATTTTAAAATTAATCTTCCTATTTTATTTAATTTAAAGGCAGCATTTAATTTCCATGAAGGAGATGGCTAGTCATCAAGATTTAATATCTTTTCTTTTTATCCCCCCCTCTGAATCAATTCAAGTATTTTGCAATTCTCATAAACAAGACTCAATGTCAATGTTTAATTTAGTTTATTTATCTTCTGGACGTATTTATGGATCCTGCTGGGTGGAAAGCATATATTAATCTAAGATACTACTATTATGAATAACAAATGTGGATCCAATGTAGCTTTCCAATTATAATTTCTTCTGTACCTGTAGAGATGTTAGTAAAGACAGAAGAGAGGTGACAAAGTCTTTCATCTTACAAGTTTAAATTTAAACATGGCCTTGAATTCTGAGGTTTAAGATTAGTTTTTAATGGCCTTCAGAAATTGAGCAATTGTGGACATGGGGAGATGTTTACATGAAATATATTTGATTACAGTGGAGCTATGTCAGTTTACACCAGGTAAGGTTTTAATCTTCTATGTCTACCCTACATTATTCTGTTACTTACCATACATAACTCTTGGGACACATCCTGCCCTCCTACCCCATGGAAACCTATGCTTTTAGGATTATAAATAGTCAAATGAATTGACTTTTATGGTTTTTGTGGTGTTTGGCTTAATTTCACTCTGTACGATAGCTATTGCCTACTGATATTTATGAAATTGTCTCAATGTGGAAATGTTGAACAAAGCCTTTGTCAGAAATGTTACTAGGACTATTAGTGATATTTAGCTGAGATTTGGCAATTGGCCTGGGTCACTGCTCTGGAGATGCCATTGTCTTCTGCAGAAAGGAAGTGTCTGCTATGCTGCGAATCCTCTCAAAATGACCCATTCCAAAGATGTCTTTCAGAAACAGAGATGTGGAACTCTCTCCCTGTTAGTTTCAGTGGAGTGTTAACCCTGGAGACTAATGATCACACACAGTGTGTCACAATTGTTAACATGTTCCACTGCTGATTATTTCAGCACAATAATCCACCCACTCTGATATCTCGAGTAGCATTGAAGGACGGCCCCACCACTATATTTCTCCAGTTGGACTCCCGAGCTTTGCATGTTCTGGAGCATCAGTTCTTTTATAAGATTTATCCTAGAGTTCAGTTCTCAGTTTATTCTTTTTGTCTGGCCAGTGCAGTTGATATGGTTCCATATCCAGAGACAACATGTACGTGGGATGAACCTCAGTCATATAATTCCTGGGGTTAGGGAAACAGATTAAGGTGGTGTTAAGCCACCTTTGTGTTCCTTGTCTGAGTCCATGGCTGTCTAGGGAATGTGCTCAGGGTACCATTTGTGGCCACTTTCAAGTCCCCTTTATGCTATCAGAGTGTGGTAAAGGGAAATCAGTATAGGGAAGAACCAGGCCCTGTATGCATGTGCACATGTCGGTTATCGTGGCGGACACTGAAACTAGGTTCAGTACAGCATTTCTTCCTTGCCTCCACATTTTCTAACTGCTGTCAGTTCAATT